GCAACTAGTCTTTTCTTGTTTTTGTTCTAATCATAGTCAGTTTACTGTATTTTTAGCTCACTCTTTCTATCTAGCATTGAGACCAAAAACAAACATAAAAAGGCTCATCAACAAAAGAAGACGAATGTCCGAACTTGCGCAATCGGAGTGATGGTTATAATTTAAATGTAGAAAGGAGGAGATAGGGTCATCAAACCTTGATGGCGTTCCTTTTTGCTGTCCTAATTACTTTGAGCCATCACTGCGGGTTTCGTGTCTAAGCGAACACAAATAGGCACATACACACACAGAGACAGATACACTCACATGCATCGAAGTTGACATATGACCATAACTAACCAAATCACTTTATACTTGATCAAAGAGGATAGATGTAAAGTATATATACCACTTTTTATGGATTTGCCGGTGAGTTTTCTTAAATCGTTAGCTTGAATTATGTTGTAACGATGATACCTTGCTCTGATGATGTTCGTTATAGGACGGACGAAAGCTTAGCACCTTTTCATCTGAATCGAAGTAGATTACCTCAGAAACCGCGCCAATATGAATGTTCCAGTAAAGCCAATCGACAGCTGGTCAAGAGGTATCCACCGTTGTCTTCTGGTGGAACCGACCTTCGAATCTCTTCACACAACACTTTCACTCGGCCAGTCCGCTCTCCAGTAGCCGGCGTAAATGGCACCGAGACGAAGCTTCGAAAGGTGCAAATGAGCAGAATAATTGTTTTGAAAAGAGTGATAAGCTGAAGGTTCTTTTCATTAGAACCCTAAAGTGAAAAGTTGTAAGGAATGAGATGGCCTTTTGTACAGTCGTAAGCTCTTCCCATTATACATATTTGCTTTATCTTTACTTTATTATTGAGTCAGGGCTGATTTCACATCGAAAGGTTGTCTTAGTTGGCGGGGTACACAAATGCCTTACCATTGATGTGATGCGACAGACATCGACAACTGCCATTAAAACGGGTCAAGCATAAGTTGTATTCATGCTATCTTGTTAAAGTTAACCAAGAGCTGGCAGTTGAATTTTCCCACGCTGATATGAGTAAGCTTCATGTATTCACTTAATTTCACATCGTCCTGCTTCTCAAAATCTATCTTCATCCAGGCAGGAATGAAATGCTGTCTCAACCTCGTTTCATCAGCACCTCCAGTGAGACTCAAACCATAATCATGTTCTGACTAATCTGCTATCAGTGCTCTTGGATCACAGGACGGAGGAGAATTTCAAGGAATGCTAGACATTCCCAATATCGCATTTATGTGGTGGGATTGTCAATGAATCACAGTTGCATTGCTTATAGCTAACTACTGCACTACTTATTTCCAGTTTATGAGTAGGCTGTCGAGACTGCCAGTAGCAATGTAGTCGATTGCTATAGCAAATACAAATTTGCCTCGCCAGTAATCCCACCAGACCAATGTGCTATGAGAGAGGCCTGGACTCCTTTGAAATTCAATTCTGCCCTGTGACCCAAGGGCACTTGCTGCAGTCTGACTATACGCCGCACCATCACAATCAGGATTAATGAGATCAGTTCAGGTGAGGTCAAAATTGCCTTCAATTCCTGTCTGGTTGAGAATACTCATCGGTAAGCAAGGCTATCTGAAATGCTATAGAAGCATGAGGACTACTCACGTGCTCGTGGGAACGTTCAATTACCCGTCCTTCACCGCCTTAAATGAAATAGGATGAATACATCTCTGCCGTTAGGTTATGAAAGCGATTACGATTTCCACAGTATTCTTGTCAATAATATGAAGATTTGAGGGCAATGTCTCGACTTCGCTTTATCATTTTCTGTTTTTTTTGTCTTTATTGGGACGCTGTTGACACGAGGTTAAATCAACATCACGTCCTGCACCCATTCTGAGTAGGTTCACCACACAGTGACTACAAGCACCAAGCCTCGTTCAAGTTTCGAGGGTAATAAACACGCGTATCTCATTGGCCCTGCAATTCTACATCTCTTGCCTTTGATCTTGCGCTTCCGAGCCCCGACGAGTTTTCACCTTCCGCACTTGACCTAGCGGGCTCGAGTCTCGGCTGGAGTGTCTCATTTGCCAACTCCAGATCTGGCACATTCTCCACCCTGTCAAGGAGGGAACAACGGAAATCGCCAACAAAAATGGGTCTTCTTTACTTGTCAACAAATAGCATCTACTTGGAATCGAGACGACAGTTAGCGCGCGAAGACTTTAGGCCCACCGACAGATTAGAAGTTGAATGGATGCCAATACCTGTAGCGACTTTTACGCTCCATCCAATAAGGAGGCCGTTAAGTGGAGTGAACAAAGTTGGCCAGCCTGCTTTTCGAACTGGTCACTTCTTAGTCTCATGTACCTGATCGAAAGAATACAAAGTGCCTCCGATCAATGGTTGGCTAGCCCCGGCATAGCTGCCACATGAGGAAGAGGAGAGACAATACCATTTGCCAAGCCATCTCGGCCAAAGTCGGTGTCACATTATCCTCCAACAAACCGTTTGATTTGCCATGGCCGACACACTCGAGCAGATATACTCAGCTCTCAGTTTCAACGAGGCAGCATTTCTTGCCAGGCACCACAGCCTCGAGTTTGTTTTGGCCGGCCTATCCGTTCATCCAAAGCTAAAATAGTACCAACTTTTCAAGAGGTATCATCCTCCCAAACTCACTACGCAGCTGGGGCATAAAGAGTGGTGAATTGTAGTCATCAAAGAGTTACTTATTTGGTGCTAACTCGGCTTGATAGTTCATTAGAGGCGTATTTCAGGGCAATCAAGTATACATGGTCGTGTATAAAGTTGTGTGTTAGGCTGCAACCTCGGGCATGACTATTCCCTTGCTCGGCGAAATGATAGAGCCAATAGAACGAAGGCGAGATGAAAGGCCTGACTATGCCTCTGGGACCTTACAAAGCGGACAGGCAAAGAAGACCTCTCGTAGACGGCCTGGTTGTTTACTTGTGCCTCTGCGTGCTTGCGCATATGTGATGTACGGTTTAGGAGAGAAAGAATCATCTGGTGACTGAAAACATTAATGGGTTGGGGTCATGAAAACCATTTAATTGGGTGGTGTGTAGGCTCTGGTCTTGTCCTCTCAATGAGCTTTTGAACATCCCGTATACCCTTGTCTCTAGCGTACTAGTCTTGGTCATTCCAGTTTTCCCTCACCAATAAATTGGGCTATAGCAATCTACCAAAGAGCCGACCAAGCCTTCTTGAGGTAATGCTGTAAATCGGTCTAGGGGAGTTGCACTCTCCCTGGCCGAGGGGTGCTCTGGAGATCAAGCCTTTAAAGGATTCAGCCAAGGGAGGTAACAACACTCTGAAGTTGTTTACGATAAACGTGAGGGAGCGAAATTTAATATAAATTGAATAAATGGCACATCTTCAGATTTTTAGCCGATTATACTTTGTATATGCATGCTTGATCTTAATCTGTATGTGAATGTATATGCTA